TTCTATACATATAATAAAATTGTAAAAAAGCGATGTATTATAGATATTAAAGAAAAATTAATATGGGAGGTCTTTATTAGAGCAACAGAAGCCAAATCAAGAGTTTTTTTAAATTTTGTCTGTCTTTCTGCACACTCATCAGTCAAAACCTAATGCATGGAATTGAATGCACTTCTCACCGATGCATTGCTAGGCTTAAAATATTGAAAACAATATTAGAGAGGCCATTTTTGTAAATTTTAGTTAAAGCAGAATGATAAGATAAAGTAGATGTTGAAGTATGGCTGTCAAAAGAAAGAGGTTAAAGAAAGCCTACTGTCATACCCACACAAAAGCGTTGGGCTGAGCGTTTTCTGACGCCTAGCGTTAACGCCGAAGTGTAATACCTAAACAAAAGCGGCAACGCTACGTCAAATGAATAAATAACACCAACAATAAGCATAGGTTTGTTTATGTGAATTACGAAAATCACAGTTTCGCCGTTTGCTGCAGAAAACTTCACTTCCCAACGCCCTGTCAAGTTCGGATCTTCTAACCGCTAAACGTTGACGCTGCTTTATTTCGGTATGCTTCATACAAAGTGTATGATCATGGGAATTTTTTGCCAACCAGACAACGCTGACGCTTTTGGTTAGGTATGGCTGTTACAGCCGAAAATATTTTTTTTGGAGGTTGCCACCTGTTTTAAAATTTTAATTTAATTTGATTATTAAATACTAGCGAGTACCCGGCGTGCTTCGCTGCGCCTTAAAAGTAATTTTGTTTTGTTACTCCCTCTCACAACATTTGAAAATATTAGTTAATATTGCTGTACATATTTGTATAGTAGGGAGATTTTTTCAAATTATATAAATATACGTTATTTGAATACAGAATTAATACACGTTTGAGGAAAGGGTGCGATAGTAGACTCCAGTTATAAGATTNTATGTATAGGTACATACATTGAAGTTAATTATCGAATTACCTGAGCGGGGATATATATTTTTATATGAAGTACACAAAATATATCAAAGAAATACCGTTCGCTAAAGAACTGCGCAAAGTGCAACTATGGCTTTTGCTGTTCTCAAGCTTAATTCTATACATATAATAAAATTGTAAAAAAGCGATGTATTATAGATATTAAAGAAAAATTAATATGGGAGGTCTTTATTAGAGCGACAGAAGCCAAATCAAGAGTTTTTTTAAATTTTGTCTGTCTTTCTGCTGGTATGTTTGCACGCGCATCAGTCAAAACCTAATGCATGGAATTGAATGCACTTCTCACCGATGCATTGCTAGACTTAAAATATTGAAAACAATATTAGAGAGGCCATTTTTGTAAAATTTTAGTTAAAGCAGAATGATAAGATAACGTAGATGTTGAAGTATGGCTGTCAAAAGAAAGAGGTTAAAGAAAGCCTACTGTCATACCCACACAAAAGCGTTGGACTGAGCGTTTTCTGACGCCTAGCGTTAACGCCGAAGTGTAATACCTAAACAAAAGCGGCAACGCTACGTCAAATGAATAAATAACACCAACAATAAGCATAGGTTTGTTTATGTGAATTACGAAAATGACAGTTTCGCTGCAGCAAACTTGACTTCCCAACACCCTGTCAAGTTCGGATCTTCTAACCGCTAAGCGTTGGCGCCGCTTTATTTCGGTATGCTTCATACAAATTGTATGATCATGGGATTTTTTTGCCAACCAGACAACGCTGACGCTTTTGGTTAGGTATGGCTGTTACAGCCGAAAATATTTTTTGGGAGGTTGCCACCTGTTTTAAAATTTTAATTTAATTTGATTATTAAATACTAGCGAATACCCGGCGTGCTTCGCTGCGCCTTAAAAGTAATTTTGTTTTGTTACTCCCTCTCACAACATTTGAAAATATTATTGCTGTACATATTTGTATAGCAGGGAGATTTTTTCAAATTATATAAATATACGTTATTTGAATATTGAATTAATACACGTTTGAGGAAAGGGTGCGATAGTAGACTCCAGTTATAAGATTATAAATTAAATTTCCAAGAGAAAGTCGGTTCTTTACATAGTTTCTAATTACCTTCGAAAATATATTAACTCAAAAAAGAAATAAACAATGCTTCATAGATCGATTTTTTTTTTAAATCTAACTTCATAAAGTTCTTTAAAAATATTTTGTAAATGAGGCCATAAGAGCTTAGGGGGAGAGTTACAACACAAAAATACATTTAAGGCGCAGCGAAGCACGCCGGGTAATTGCTAGTATCTATATAAAATTTTGGCCTATTTAAAAAAGTATCCATATTTATACTGATCGGAAAAAATAAGTAAAAATTCGTCTAAAAATGTATCCAATTGTATCTATTTAGATCCAAACGGCATTGATAAAGAGAATAAGCAACTAGCGTTATCCAACATACTTCGTGAACTTGCGGATCTAAAATCCGCACAAGTGCGCTCCACTGAACTGATCAATGCCCTACATACCGACAAACAGCTCTTAATAGCAAAAAGTGAATTTCTCCATACAGAGATGGTAGCTTTGCATAAACGGCAAGCGGACGAGTTTGTTAAGACTCTCTCTTCTCTCACTGCTGAAATCAAAGAACTTCGTCGTACTGCGCGTTGCTGTAGTTGTGTGAACAACAACGAAAAAGTCAATAAGCTAACCAAGAATGATAGAATACAAGATTGCGCCAATGAGAGAGGATTTTTGTGCGTAATTTTTGCGTAACGTCATCTTGGTGCAATTGCGAGAGAGAAATGCCAAAACGCATATAAAAATATGTAAACAATGCAGAAAAATGTATTAATTTTAATATTACATGGCCCAATTTTGCAGGAATTAATAAATATACAAAGATTAATTAATTAGGAACACGTAGCAATAATTTTGGACATGTAGCCCTTTAGGTAAGTACGATTTTTAGCACATGAAAAAATGGATGTATTAACAGTGTTTGCAATTTCCTGTAGACCCAAAGGGAGGTGTGCTGCAAAGTGAATTTTTGGACTCGCCATTGTAAAAAGCCATGCAGAGTGCATATTTATATTTGTGGACGGTAGCCAACCACCATAAACTCCACAACTGTTGACTCCACAGCTTTTATTTGATGACTTTTGTACCATTTCCGAGAGGATGCATTAGTGTGGCTTCTTTGGAAACAAATATTCTTTGTAAGTATAACATAATTTAAGCTGAACTTTTAAATGTATAATAATTTGGGCACTGTTTTGTATTAGGTACGTAACAGCGCGGTAAGATGCCGCTTGAATTACTCGTGCTTGAGTTCTGCCAGTTCTGTGCATTCCTTTTTGTTTTCTTTTCGCAGGTTCATATTTTCTCGCTTTAATGCAGTGTCCGCCAAAAAGAGAAAAGTCTTAAAATGAAAATGTATTAGTTATGAAATAAAAAATGAGAATGTGTTGGTGGTAATGCACGGAAAAAAATTTCTGTGTTGTATTACTAATTATAAAAACTTTGGTATGTTTTTTTGCCGTTTTTTCATTGGGCGTTTTTTTTTAGATCTAAATAACATAGAAACATATAATGAAAGTTAACGGCCCTGAGAAAGGAAAAAGTTGGTAAAATTTTGTATGTATTGTAAAAGACTATTATTATTTTTTTATAATTTAAGTGTGGATTTCTGAGCAAAAAAGATAACGTGCTTC